CAAACTACATTTCACTCTCAGCTAAACCACAGCACCAGAGTGAGGGTGAAGTGAGAAAGTGAGACCACCAACCTGTGCTAAGAGCTCAGGCAGAGGCAGTGAAGCCCAGAGGGAGGAGGAGGCAGAAGCAGCAATAAGCAAAGAAACTGGTAACCAGGGAAGCAAATAGTATTAATGCTACAGAAAACAATAATAGTGACCAATTGGAGGCATATTAAAACAAGGTGTACACAAGACTGTTAACAAGTAAAACATCAAAATCTAAAGAAAAAAGCGTAAATCTTTCAGATGATAATATGGGAGAATATTTCAGTGACCATGGGCAAGGACGGATTAAGAAAAAGAGCACTCACCACAAAGGAATGGGTTGCTACATTCTCCAGTATTCAAGCTGAGAAGGTCTCATTGTCAAGACACCAAAGAGTGAAAAGAGAAGTCACCAACTGGGGAAAGATACTGGCAATAGCTTTAACTCTTAAAAGAGCAGAATCCAGAGCATACAGAAAACTACAGATCCACATGTAAAAGACTGCCTGAGAGAAAAATGAACAAGAATGCGCAGGCAGGCACAAGAGAGGAAACCCAAAGTCACCCTATATAAACATGGCCAAGCCCTCCACAGCAGCCAGAGAAATGCAGGTTTATAATCACAGTGAGATTCTGTCCCCGTCACCCAGACGGCTGCCGTTCACACGTCCTACTTCAGCAAAGGAGACGTGCAAGGAGAGTTCACACCCCACCGCTGGGATGGGCACTGGGACAACCACTTTCAAAAACAGTTTAGCACTCCCTGGTCAGCTGAGAACGCACCACCCTGAAACCCACAGGATCACACCCAGGTGCACCCTGAAGAAACTGCTCATGTACCTGGGATGAGAGACACTCCCAGCAGCATTGCTGCGACAGCAAAACACGGGGAACAGAGCAACTCAGAGCCAGAGCTGCGAGTACGACCACTCAGGTGAAGAGCCGTCCACGCCACAGCACTCCCCAGTCTGTACTGTTTGGGAAGACAGAGGGACACTAAACTTTATTTTTTGTTAATTAAAGTATGCATGTAAAATTCTATGGGTAAATAGAAAGAGAATAGGTAACCTCCAAACTATGAGAAAAAAAAACAATGGAATAAAGAAACCTTAATCACCCTGGCCAGTTTGACTCAGTGGTTGGAGTGTCAGCCCGTGGACCAGAGGGTCTCAGGTTCGATTCCTGGTCAGGGGCATGTACCTGGGTTGCAAATTCAATCCCCCGTCCTAGTCAGGGTTGTGTGAGAGGCAAACAATCAATTTGTCTCTTTCATATGGATGCTTTTCTCTATCTCTCTCTCCCCCTCCCTCCCTTCTACTTTATCAAAAATCAATGAAAAGTATCCTCGGGTGAGGGTTAACAAAAAAATTAATTTAAAATATTTTAAAACTCGTCTATATTGGTGAATGTATTACAAATGTCCCTTCTTTTTTCCCCATTGACCCCCTCCTCCCAAATCCCACGCCCCTCCAGCCTTCCCCACACTATTCTCGGTGTCCATTGGTTATGCATATATGCATAGAAGTTCTTTGTTTTATCTTATCCCGCCCTCCCTCCCCCCTTCCTTTTGAGGTTCACCAGTCTAACAAACAATTTCTACTTCTTAATTCTTTCATCTTTCTTTTTTTTTTTATCCTCAACCGAGGACATTTTTCCATTTTTTGTACAGATAGAGTGGGAGGGAGAGAGAGGAAGGGAGAGAGAGAGAGAAACATCGACGTGAAGGGACACATCGAGTGGCTGCCATCTGCACAACCAACCAGGGCCAGGGACAAACTGCAACCGAAGTACGCGCCCCTAGCAGGAACCGAACCCGGGTCCCTCCGGACCGCAGACTGACGCTCTAACCGCTGAGCCAAACTGGCCAGGGCTTAATTCTTTCATCTTTTTCACCCATCCCCACAGCCCCTGCCCATCTGGCAAGCAACAAAATGTTCTCAGTATCTATGAGTCTGTTTCTGTTCTGCTTGCTCATTTTGTTTGTAGATTCAATTGTTGATAGATATATATTAATTGCCATTTTATTGTTCATATTTTTGTTCTTCACCTTCAAGAAGACCCTTCAATGTTTCATATAATACTGGGTTGGTGGCAATGAACTCCTTTAGCTTTTTCTTGTCTGGGAAAAATCTTGATATGTCCATCGATTCTAAATGATAGCTTTGCAGGATAGAGTAATCTTGGTTGTTAAGTCATTGCTTTACATCACCTTGAATATCTCTTGCCACTCCTTTCTGGTCTGCAAAGTTTCTTTTGAGAAATCAGCTGACAGTCTTATGGGAACTCCTTTGTAGGTAACTAACTGCTTTTCTCTTGCTACTTTTAAGATTCTCTCTTTGTATTTAACCTTTGGCATTTTGATGATGATGCGTCCTGGTGTGGTCCTCTTTGGGTTCATCTTGTTTGGAACTCTCTGTGCTTCCTGAACTTGTATGTCTGTTTCCTTCACCAAGTTAGGGAAGTTTCCTGTCATTATTGTTTCAAATAGGTTACCAATTTCTTGCTCTCTCTCTTCTCCTCTGGCACCCCCATGATGCGAATGTTGGCATGCTTAAAGTTGTCCCAGAGGCTTCTTACACTATCCTCAGTTTTTTGGATTCTTTTTTCTTTTTGCTGTTCTGATGGGGTGTTTTTTACTTCCTCATATTCCACATCAATGGTTTGCTTCTTGGCTTTACCTACTCTACTATTGATTCCTTGTAAATTATTCTTTATTTCAGTTAGTGCATCCTTCATTTCTGACTGGTCCTTTTTTATGTTGTTGATATTCTCACTAAGTTCCTCGGAGGTCTCCTTAAGTTCCTTGAAGTTCTCACTAAGTTCCTTGAGCAACCTAATAAACAGTGTTTTGAACTCTGCATCTGATTGATTGCTTATCTCCATTTTGTTTAATTCTTTTCCTGGAGTTTTGTTCTTTTCTTTTATTTGGGCCATGTTTCTTTGTCCCCTCATTTTTGCTGCTTTTCTGTGATTGTTTTTATGTATTAGGTAGAGTTGCTATGTCTCCTAGGCTTTGTAGGGTGGCCTATTATTGTAGATGTTCTGTAAGATCCAGTGGCACAGCCTCCCTGATCACCCCAGCTGGGCCCCCGAGGTGCATCCCCTAATGTGAACTGTACACCGTTCTGTTGTAATTGAGTCTTGATTGCTGTTGGTACGTCAATGGGAGGAATTTACTCAGGCTGTTCAGCTGTGGCCACTGCCCACTGGCCTCTGACTACCTTGGAGGATCAGCTACGCAGGGCCCACCACACAGAGCAAGACTTACTTCAGCAGGGCTCTGGTACCCACTGAGTTCACTCCTTGAGTATTTCATTTGTGGAGGTGGTTGGGTGCTGGTGCTTGGACATGATTTGGAGCTGTCCACTGGGTATGCTGGCTCTGGGGCAAGGTCAGCCACTGCTTGTGTTCTACCTGGGGCCACCAGGCATAAGCTACAGAGTCATGTGCAGATGGCTGCTGCTTGTGCTGGGCTTGGAGGTGCCCAGGCAAAGCCAAGCTGTGAACCAAAGCTGGCTGCTCCTAGTGCCAGGCCTGGGGCCAGTTAAGCAGAGGTATGGGGCTCGCTGAGACCAGATGCCATTTGTTTGAGAGATTTTAGGAACCTCGGAAGCAGGATCCAAGACAGGCCAATCCTATGGTAAAGCCTTTGGAAACAGCTTGGGTGGGCCCGAAAGTTGGGTGGGGCGGGGCCTCAGAGAATCACCAGGGTAGTGGAAACAGTGTGAGCCAGGTTCCTGGAGTCCTAGATATGGTGGCTGTCTGCCGCCCCAGGGAAGGGCTCACCAAAGGAACATCAGCCTCCGCCAGCACATCTGATCCAGGAGAAAGCTGCCTCTCCAGCCCTTGTCCTGAGGCCAAACAGCTCAGTTGTTCCCTGTGTGTCTCTGGCGCCCCTCGAGCTGCCTCCCCTCCAAGCTTAGAGGGAGTGAGTCCGATAAGTCCGTGTGCGGGCCCTTTAAGAGGAGCTGCCTGGGGCTCCAGCCGCCTCAGCCTCCCTGAGCCTCAGTTCCTGCTGGTTTTCCAGCCAGAAGTGATGGGGATTCTCTTCCTGGCACTTGAACCCTGAGTGGGGCGCCTGGTGTGGGATGGGGACCCCTCACTCCTCAAGGAGGACCTTCCCAGCCGAGGTGTCCTCCTGATTTTATCCACCACACGTGGGTGTGGGACCAGCCAGTCCGCCTCCACCCCTCCTACCAGTCTGGATATGGCTGCTGCTTTAATTCCGTAGTTGTAGGACTTCCATTCAGCTTGACTTCAGATGGTTCCGAATGATGGTTGTTCTGTAGTTTAGTTGTAATTTTGATGTGGTTGTGGGAGAAGGTGATACCGTATTTACCTACCCGCCATCCTGACTGGAGTCTCCTTTTTTAAGTAAAAAAAAAATTTTTTTAAAGAAAGCTTAACCCAACAAAGGAAAAAAGCATAGAAAAATAACGAGAAATAGAAATGACAAAATGCTATAAATTTATTGATCTATCAATAATTAAAATAAATATAAACAGAATAACTCTAAATACAGGCTTCTGGACTGAAGAAGAAGCTGGCTATACTGGCTGCAAAAGCACCAAGGAAACAGTTGCAGTGGAGGAGTAAACAGGACAGGACAGGCAGGGGTGGCAAAGGGGAAGGCCATGTAACTGCATCAGTATCACAGAAGATGCGCTTTATCAAGCTGAAGAGGAAGGGACACAGCATTCTGGTAAGAGCAACAATGTTGGAAACTGTAATGATTCATTGTCAGAGTCACCCTGATAAACCAAGAATCAGTAGCAGATGTCTCTCTGTTATTGATACTTAAAGACAAAAAAAACCTGGCCCGTGTGGCTCAGTGGACTGAGTGTGGACCCACTCAGAAGTCCTGTCAGGGCGCATGCCCAGGTGCAGCCTCAATCCCCAGTAGGGGGCGTGCAGGAGGCAGCCAATCAATGTTTCTCACATAGATGTTTCTCTCATACATCAATGTTTCTCTCTCTAAAAAAAAAAAAAAAATCAATAAAAAATATTTAAAGACAAAAAGGATATTGTATATTTGAACTACAAAATAAGATTCCTCTAATAAAGACATAGCATATTTGAGTGACAAAATAAAATTCATCTAATGGGCATGCACAAAACCCTGAACTTAGTGAAAATGCAGTCTTTCTGAGCACTCATGGAACAATGACCAAGACCTAGGTGCCAAAGCAATATCACCATCAAGGCAAAACACTACATGTCCCCTATTTTGTTTGTTTAAATTTGTCTTCCAATTTCTTCTTCCATGTGTACATTTTCAAGCTTCTCAGCCTGACTCTTCTCCTGCTGTTAACACACTACATTCCTGCGTTTAGTCTTTGGGATGGATGCTGGCTCTCTGAGCTGCAACTGCCGGCAGGAGGACTATCAGAGAGACACACGGACACAGGGCGTGCTGCTCTCTCCTGCTTGTCCCGATAAGGTGTCCTGCCAAGGGCATCCATGAGAATATCAGTCCTGGGCATAGTTTTGTGGCAACTCAACTATAACCACCCTGCTCATTTTTTTGTCATCATAAAACTGTTCTTGCAAATGTTATTTGTAACAAAAGATTCTTTCAAAATTCTTAAATTGTAGAGACTATGACCATGCTCTGTAGAACCCAATAAAACGTATGCTTTAAGCTGTCTGCTTTGTTAAACAATTTTCTTGCTTGATAAAAGTTGCTCTGGTAATAATATTTAAATAAACATGTTTTCGAAAAATGTAAATGTTTGCACAATTTATTTACTAATCAGAAGTCCACTGAAAGCCCCATCTCCCCCCACGCACAACGGCACAAAGTCATAATCACTAAAACAAAGATAATTTTCAAAGCCTATATATTTACAAAACTTTAAAAACACACTTCTACATTTTTCACAAACCAAATCTGAAATCATAATTGAATTTTTTTAATATGAAAACCAAAAGACAGTAAAAACATCAAAAGTGTTTGGATGTAGCTAAAGCAGTTGTATTAGTTAGTGATTGCAATATAATAACAAATCATCCTCACATTTAGCAATTTATAACAACAAAGGTGTCTTGTCTCAGTTTCTGTGGGTCAGGAATCTGGGAGCAGCTTAGCCGGGGGCTCTGGCTCAGGGTCTCTCCCCAGGCTGCAGTGAAGATACAGCTGGAGCGGCACTGCCTGAGGCCGGGCCGGGCCATCGGCTCCTAGTTCACACACGTCCCCTCCTCTGTGCCCACTTGTTCAGTGACTGCCCAAGTCCTGCCCATAACAAGGGCAGAGGAATGAAGCTCTACCTCTCGAGGGGCAGAACGTCAAAGAATGTTGTGATCATAACTTTCAGTCTACCACAGTATTACATAAAAATTCAGTCTCAGGTGCACATACTAGAGAAAAACATAGTGAAATTAAACTAATGTCTAACTCACTGAGTCAAACTAAATGTCTAACTTAATAAGTTGAAAAAAATAGAGCAAGCCTAAAGAAAGGGATAAAAGAACAAAAATGAAATAGAAATGAAAGAAATAAAATGTTCAGTACCGCTGAAAACTTGTTCTTTGAAAACACTGCTAAAATCACGTGGCCAGTGGGGCTCAATGGATGGAACATCATCCGATGGACTGAGAGGTCCTGGTTTGATTCCCAGTCAGGGCACATGCCCAGGTTGTGGGCTCGATCCCCAGTGGGGGACATGCCCCATGTTTCTCTCTCATCAATGTTCACCCCTAGAATGTAAAACTGGTTTAATATTTAAAAAATCATCAGTTTTTCATTAATAGATTAAAGGGGGAGAATATGCTCACTTCTACAGAAATAGAAAAGCACAGGATGTAATTCAATATGTCGCTCCTAATGAAAATGCTTAATAAACTGGGGATCACATTTTCTTATCTTATAGTGCATATACTGCAAAACCACCCACCAAACATTGAATTTAACATACTTCATAATTCTACCTGAAAAATGGAAGCATTACTTTAATATCAGGAACAAGACAGAGATGCTATCATCCCTTCTATTCAACTCAGCGCTGGAGGTCCTGGGTAATTAAAGAAAGAAAAAGAAGGAGTATAAATATTGAGATGAAAGAAACACACCTGTCACAGCTTCTGTCATCATTTCATCCTTCAATCTGCTTTTCTTCAAAACTGCTCATGATCCCTCCAGGAAGATTCTCACGGGACCTCTGGTCTCTCCACTTTGTCTAAGTCCCTGAGCTCAGCTCTACTGGGCACCGGCCCATCTGCACGAGCCAAGCCCTCGCGCCCAAATATCTGTCTGCTCCATTTTGTGTATCTTTCTTAACCCATCCCCGGCTTGACTTCTCGTTTATGTGCTCAATACTCCCATACTTAACACAAGCAAAAGAGAAGTCTTGAGTTCTACCTCCTCTGCTTCCAAACATCCTCCCCAATCATCCTTACTTTTCATTTTCATCTCCTTGACTGAACCCAAATCCAGGAGTTATCAGGAATTTGTTTCCATCTAACCAGCAAGTGCTATTGACTCGATCCTCCAAGCCCATTACAGATGTCTATCTCCTCTCCTGTTCTCACCTGAATGACCCAAAGCCTCTGCAGACCCTGCTTCCTTTCACGTCTGCAAGCATTTCTCTAAACAGATCTTTGAAAAAAGTAATCATATTTATCTGTCCACTGTGTTTCTTTTCTAATGTACCATATAGATTATGTCTGCTATGCTTATTGTGCCTACCCTCCTAGAAAGTAAGCTCCTTGAGGGGGAACTAAAACCGAACCAAAACAACCCAGTGATGCATCTCACAGGACAAGAACAGGGCCTGGCACATAACAGGGGCTCGTGCTTGCTGATTGGATCATTACTCCTCGGCTTGTGACGCTTCGGTGGCACTTAGAAAGCACCAAACTCAGCACGCTCCACAAGGCCAACAGGCCTCCGCTCCGCCCGCCGGCCGCTCGCCCTGCTCCCATAAGTCCCCTAGGGGCACAGTCTTTCTGTACCCACCTCGTCCTGACTTGTGACTTTGCCATTCACTCTGGCTGGTGTGATCTCAGACCTTCCTTCTCATTTGGATTTCAGCCTTGAAGAGACACCCTTTCTGACCATCCATGATAAAGTACACTATCCACCACAATCCTATTTTAGTTCTTTGCATATGCAATAAATTACTATTTTATTTTTTTTATTTTAAGTCATTGCCTCTCACTATCCACCAGAATATAAACCTCATGAGCACAGAAACTGTTTACCTTGCCACTGTCGTAACCTAGACGTTTTGACACATCACAGGTACGCAGTAAAGGAGTTCAGGAGAGACAAGGGCTGGTGATAATAGGCTTGAGAGAGCACAGAAAATGAAGGAGAGAAAAGTCATCAAGAAATAATTCAGGCCCTGGCCAACCTGACTCAGTTGGTTGGAGCATCACCCTACACTCCAAAAGGCCAAGGGTTTGATTCCTGGTCAGGGCACATACCCAGGTTGAGGGTTTGATCCCCAATCAGGATGTGTGTGGGAGGCAGCCAGTTGATGTTTCTCTCTCACATCAAAGTTTCTCTCTCTCCCTCCCTCTCCTTTCCTAAGAATAAATCAAAATTATATATATATAAGAAATAATTGAAATAATTCAGTAGTTTCCCAGAACTGAGGTTATAAATTTCTAGAATAACAGGGCCCATTGGGCTAATCAGCACAATGGGAAGAGAGGGGTAACATCTGAAGGCATATCAAGAAATTAAGAGCACACAGTAGGACCCCTACATGGCCACGTACGGAGGACTCCGGCTCGCACAGCCGCAGTGCAGTGGGGGCAGGAAGGCAACAGAACAATGCCTTTGAAATTCTGAAGGAAAATTGTTTCCACCAAGACTCCGGACTCAGGGCATCTATCAAGTAAGTGTGAAGGTAGGAGAGACATTTGCAGATAGTTCAAAAATTCAACTTCCACACACCACTTCTCAGGGACCTATTGATGTTCCACCAAAATGAAGTCAGGAAGAGGGAGGTTTCAAGGTGGCGGCAGAGTAGGTGGACCTTCCTTGCACCTCTTCTCAGAACCAAACTAAAAATAAAACTAAACTGAGGAACCGTCACCCTGAATTTCCAACTGCAGACTGGCTGAAGAGATGTGTAAACAGGGGCGGTCAGAAACCACTGGAGCTGACAGATGGGCGGGTCTGCAGAGGGGCGGGCCCAGCTGCACAGGCTGCAGGGCAGGCAGCAGAGGGAAGTCTCGGCTGGAGGGGCTGTTCCTGAGGAGTGAGGTCAGAACCCCAGCTGGACTCCCTGGTCCGGAGAGCTGAGCCCGGAAGAGCGGCCCACATGTCATCCAGCCATGCACGGTGGCAGGGCTTCTATCTGCCGTGAGGAGCTGGACACTGCCAAAGACAAAACCACTTAAAAAAAAAAACAAAATAAGCCCTGGCCGGGTGGGCTCAGCGGTTAGAGCGTCGGCCTGCGGTCCAGAGAGTCCCGGGTTCGGTTCCCGCTAAGGGCTCATATCTGGGTTGCAGTTTGTCCCCTGCCCTGGTTGGTCGTGTGGGTGGCAGCCACTCGATGTTTCTCTCTCTCTCTCTTCCTCTCTCTCCTTCCCACTCTGTCTGAACAAAAAAGTGGAAAAATGTCCTCGGGTGAGGATAAAAAACAAAAAAATAACAGAGTACCAGATTTTCACTTGTAGCCACTCACCCTGGGCATTGCTTTGGTGGGGGTGGGTGCAGACTGGGAGGGGAGGGGGGTGGAAGGCGTGGGGGGACCTGCACTCAGTCGCCACCCCAGACCACAGCAGCCCTTTCCTGAGGCACACGCACCTCCTCGCAGCCGCAGCCTGCTGGCCCCACCTGCATCTCAGACCCTGCTGAGGAGGCGGCAGCAGAGGCCACGCCTACAGGATCGGGCGGTCTCAGGGGACAGTAGTGACTGGCTTTATGGTGGGGTCATTCCCCACAATGTCCCAGAAACCTGACTGGCACTTCCCCCTCACAGGAGAGCTGATAGAAACCCCCAGCTTACCGCAGACCCCACAGAGACTGCATACTAGAGGCTCTGCCCTGCCAAGTCAGGAAAAGAGCTCCGGACAGATTTAGACCTGGGGCTCTGGGATGGGGGCCACACCCATCTTCCCTGGAGTCTGAAAGGCACCTCCCCCTCACAGGAAACCCAGACATCTCATCCTCCGGATTCCACCAAAGCCCTTTCAGAAGCAGCCTTTCCAGTGACTAAGTCTGGCCGCTGGCCAGCAGGCGGCTGTGGGCGGAGGCCGTGGCGAGGTGTCCTGGGACGTTTGCAGACAAGCTGGCCCTGGAGTGCACCTTGCCCCTCCCAGGTGCTGCCAAGCCAGCAGAAGCAGCCACAAACTGCAAATGGCTTGAAGCGTGAACAGGCTGCCAAGAGCCCAATGCAGACAGCTTCCGACAGTGGCTAGCACCAAAGTACCTGCAGCGGCCAGAAACAGCACACAGGACAGTCGGCCTCAGTCAACACGAGAGCAGGGGCCAAAGGGAGCTCCCAGAGGGCACTAACCTCTGCCAAGATGAGTTCCACTTTGTTTTTTTTCCTTTCATTATTTTCTTTTTCTTTTTTATTGCTTTGTTATTCTTTTTTCTTTCATATCTCTTATTTTTCTCTTTCATTTTCTTACTTTTTCTTTCTCCTTTCTGTTTCTCCTTTTAATTTTTTCTTTTCTATTCATTTTTCCTTTTTATATTTTTTTCTCACCATTTTCCATTTCCTGTTCTTTATTCTTATTTTTTCTTCTCTCCTTTCCTATCCTTTTTCTTCCCCTTTTTTTTTTCTTCTCAGATTTCTTAAATTATTCGTTGTTCTCTTTTCTAATTCTATAATCTTTTGTGGTATTATTATTATTGAATTAATTTTTGTTACAGATGTTTCTCCTTTTCCCGCCAGACACCCTCTTCCCCCTCCCCCCAACCCCCTTCGCTGAGGTCTGTCAGTCTGAACCATACTCCTTTCTATGTCTCTGGGTCTGTTTTGTTCATCAGCTTTTTTTGTTCATTATATTCCACAAATAAGTGAGATCACGTGGTATTTGCCTTTCTCTGATTGGCTTATTTCACTTAGCATAATACTCTCCAGGTCCCTCCATGTGGTTGTCTTTGCTGTTGTTGGGGTCTTTTGTATGTTTCTGTTTTGTTTTGCTCTGTTCTGTCGGCACCTGTATAACAGCACAGCATGGTCAGGGTTGAGGACAGCAACAATCAATAACCCAAACAAGGAACATTCCTAGAGCTCAGAAGATGAAAGAGACCACACCACTGGGTCCCACAGGACACATAAGACCACACCACAAAGACTGACAGGCACAGCAGTCCTATATAATACATAGAAACAAACACAAGGTGACAGCTAAACTGGGGGAGACAAAGAAACAATCCCCAGATTAAAGAAAAGGAGGAAGCTCCAGAAAAAGAGCTAAATAAAATGGAGGTAAACAATTTGTCATACACTTCAGAGTAATGGTTATAAGGATGCTCAAGGTACTTAGAACTACAAAAAACTTTTTTTTTTAAAGATACAGTTTTATTTATTTATTTATTTATTTATTTATTTATCTATTTATTTCTTTATTGATTTTAGAGAGAAAGGAAGTGAGAGGGAGAGAGAGAAACATCGATGAGAGAGAACATTGATTGGCCGCCTCCTGCATGCCCCCCACTGGGGATCAGGCCCACAACCTGGGTATGTGCCCTGACTGGGAATCAAACCAGTGACCTCTTCGTGCATGGGTCGACGCTCAACCACTGAGCCACACTGGCCAGGCAGAACTACCAAAAACTTAATGGTAACTACAAGGAACTTAGTGGGAACTACATCAGCATGAAAGATGACAAAAATTATGAATAAGAACCAGTTGGAAATAAAGAACATCATGTCTGACGTCAAGAATACACTGGAAGAATTAAAAATAGGCTGAATGGCCCTGGCCAGTTTGGCTTAGCAGTTAGAGCATCGGCCTGCGGTCCAGAGAGAGCCGGGTTCGGTTCCTGCTAAGGGCACGTACTTCGGTTGCAGTTTGTCCCCGGCCCTGGTTGATCATGTGGGTAGCAGCCACTCGATGTGTCCCTTTCACGTAGATGTTTCTCTCTCTCTCCCTCCCACTCTGTCTGAACAAAAAATGGAAAAATGTCCTCAGGTGAGGATAAAAAAAAAAAAAAAAAAGTAGGCTGCATGAAACAGGATCAAATCAGTGATTTGGAAGACAAGGTAGAAAAAAAACACCCAACCAGAGCAACAAGAAGAAAAAAAAATTTTTTTAATGAGGAGTTTTCCCTGGCCAGTTTGGCTCAGTGGTTGGAGCATCGGCCTGTGGACTAAAGGGTCATGGATTCGATTCTTGGTCAAGGGCATGTACCTGGGTTGCAGGCTCAATTCCCAGCCCTGGTCAGGGTCATGCAGGAGGCAACTAATCAATGTGTCTCGCTCACATGGATGTTTCTCTCTCTCTTCCCCTCCCTCCCTTCCGCTCTGTTTAAAATCAATGAAAAAATATCCTCAGGTGATTATTAACAAAAAATAAAATAAAATAAAAAATGAGGACAGTTTAAGTGAACTTTGAGACACTATGAAATATAACAATATCCCCAACCTAGGGCACCAGAAAGAGATAGAAAAGGTGCTTGAAGAAAGAGTGACATAAAACTTCTCAAATCTGGTGAAGAAAAAAGTCACCTAAGTCCAGGAAGCACAGAAAGTCCCAAAGAGACCCACACTAAGACACGTCATAATTTAAAAGGCTAAGATTAATCACAAAGAGAGAATCTTAAAGGCAGCAAGAGAGAAACAGTGAGTTACCCGCAAGGGAGCTCCCATAAGCAGGCAGCTGATCTCTCAACAGAAGCACTTCAGGCTGGAAGAGATTGACATGAAATATTCAAAGTGATGAAAAGCAAGAACCTGCAACCAAGACTGCTCTAGCCAGCAAAGCTATCATTTAAAATGAAAGGCAAAACAAAGAGCTTTCCAGACAAAAGAAGGCTAAAAGAGTTCAGTATCACCAAACCAGCATTGGGAGAGATGCTAGAGGGGCTGCTTTAAGAAGAAGAAAAGGTCCTAGCCAATTTGGCTCAGCAGTTAGAGAGTCGGCCCATGGACCGAAGAGTCATGGGTTTGATTCCAGTCAAGGGCATGTACCTGGGTTGCTGTTCAGTCCCCGACCCAATAAAGGTTGTGCGGGAGGCAACCAATAAAAGTGTCTCTCACACATCCATGTTTCTCTCTCTCTCTCCCTCCCTCCCTCTATCTCATTCTATCTTAAAATCAATGTAAAAATATCCTCAGGTGAGGATTTTTTAAAAAAGAAGAAAAAATAGAGAGAGGAACATGGGTATAAAGATAGAATGGCAATAAATAAGTACCTTTCAATAATAACCTTAAATGTAAATGGATTAAATGCTCCAATCAAAAGACATAGGACAGCTGAATGGGTGAGACAACATGACCCATATACATGCTCTTTACAAGAGACCCACCTCAGAACAAAAGACAGAGACAGACTAAAAGTGAAGAGATGGAAAAAAAATATTCTATGCAAATGGAAACAAACAAAAAACTGAGGCAGCAATTCCCATATATGACAAAATAGGCATCAAAACAAAGGCCATAACAAGAGACAAAGAAGGTCACTAGATAATAATAAAAGGATCGATCCAACAAGAGGATATAATCCTTGTAAACACATATGCACCCAATATAGGAGCACCTAAATATATAAAGAAAAAAACTCTTAGTGGACTTTAGAGAGAGATCAGCGGCCATACAGTCATAGCTCCCCATTGTCATCATTGGATAGATCTTCCACACAAAACTTCAGCAAGGAAGCAGTGACCTTAAAAGACACACTGGATCAGATGGACTCACTTGATATTTACAGAACATTTCATCCCAAAGCAGCAGAATATACATTCTTCCCAAATGTACATGGAACGATCTCAAAGAGAGATCACATGCTAGGACACAAAATAAGTTTTAAGAAATTCAAGACTGAAATCATGTCAAGCATCTTCTCGGATCACAGTGGCATAAAACTAGAAATCAACTAAAATAAAAAACAAAAACACAAACACCTGGAGGCTAAATAGCAAGTGATTAAATAATGAATGGGTTACCA